CACAATTATTTGGTTCCCTGCTCACCTTGGCTTGAGGGTCAGAGGCCTTCCCATTGTCAACAAGCTAGCCCACTCCTAGGCGCGAGGCTTCACTTACCGCGCCGGGACTTGTGCTTCTCAGACAGATGAGTCAGCCACCAGCCTTCATTTTAAGGACATCTTGACTACCTTCAACGAGATCACGACGCATTATCAATTAGGCCGTTGGTCCTTTCCATTGCCACACGAAAAGTTGTCTAGGCCACAGGCAATCTCTCTTCGCATGCTTCAGACGGCAACATACCCTAGCCTCGTAACCTATAGCCATTACTCCGATATTTCAGAACTTTGTCCGGACTGCCAAAATCGCAGTGATTTTTACCACGTGCTCTGGAGGTGCCTCTGTTTACAAAGAAAAAAATGAAGAATTACAAAAAAAATGAAAAGCGAAAAAATGAAATGAAGAACTCTTTTCATTCAATGCTCACGGGTCCGGTTCTCATACAACAACTCAAGGCTGTCCAGAATGCCCACGATGCGGCGGTGAGGCTGGGCCTCCCCGTCCCAACGTGTGAGCGGCCCGCGATTCTACCCCTATAAAACGGGGGTGGAATCCTACAGGACCCCAATAAAAGTTTTCATCCATCCATCCAACACAGGGTTACAAATATTAGGTTGCCATGCACACCTTTTATTCCTTTTTTTGTGTAACCACTTTCCGGCAGAAGCTACACCTCATTGTCTCTCTGCCTTCAAGAATATTTCGTATTTTAGGGGCGAAGCTCCTTATAGCGGCATCCGTTCGTCCCCCGTAGTATGTAAAAAGGATAACATTTTGACCTCCAAGGTGGTGCCGGTGAGAGACTTCTTCTGTGCGTTGTTGAACAATAAAAAATAGTGCTCAATGTACATGTCAATAGCTGCTAATGGGGAATGAGAGACAGGAGCATTCGGCTTTTAGTTAACGCGCAGGCTGCGATCACCATTAGCAGCCATTGGCATGTACATTGAGCACTATCTGACAAGAAAGGGTTGCTACTTTATACTCGCTGGGTGTAACCTCCTTAGCTTTAGAAAGGTTTAGCGAGCGTTGAGCTGCAGTGCCATGAATACAATGAACTTGTATATACCATGAATGAACTCGAGGTGGTTAAAAATGGGAAGTAGATACGAAGCGCAAGCCGTAAGAAAGTAAAAGCCGAATTCTCCGCCTCTCATTTCCCATTAGCAGCCATTGGCATGTACAGTGAGCACTATCTGACTGAAAAAGTTTGCTACGTCATACTCGCTGGGCGTAACCTCCTTGGTTTTCGAAAGGTTTAGTGAGCGTTCGGCTGCAGTGCCATGAATACAGTGAACTAGTATATACCATGAACTGGAGGTGGTTAAAGGTGGGAAGTGGACCCGAAGCGCAAGCCGTAAGAAAGTGTGCGTGTGCCACCTCTCGTTTAGTCCATGGAATGTCCGCTGGATGGCGGTGCTTCTATATGGGGAATATATGATGAAAAGATGCAAGATGGTGGTACTTGGAGTGTTGAATAGATGGACGAACGGACACATAGACAGATGCATGAATGGACGCATGAACGGACGCAGGGGCGGCTGCATGGACGAACGCAGGGACGGACGCACGAACAGACACACGCACGGACGGGCTGATGGACGCATGGACGGTCACACTGACGGACGCATGGACGGACGGAAGCAAGAACGGACGGACGAATTCTTCACCCCACTCTCCATCATTCACTCCGTGGATAGGCTGCCAATTTTTTTTTGTATAAGCTACAGAGCACAACGGGAACAGTGGTGTTTTTTTTCTTCAACTAACCCGGCCACTAAAGACAACGATGGAATCTTCGTTGTCACGAGTGTAAAACTGCGAAACTCTTTACTGCTGATCTGATCCTTCAACAACCAACGAATGCCTGCGTCGATATCTTTGCACATTAAGAAGCCCCTAAACCAGCAGGCGTCGAAACTTTGTTGCAATATTGAGTTGTGTACGAGTGTGCAATGAACGCGTAGCCATTAGACAGTTTTGAAACGGCGCCGTACTGGCAGAATTACACGCGTTTCATGATCCAAAGTTGCAGCTCATCCGTTTAGCGCTTTTCTTCGCTACCACTCGTTCTCGGGCTCATTTCTTCCAAAATTTCTTTTCCCCCCTCGTCGAGTGTTGCTGATCTCGCACGCAATCTCACTTTACATACCGTCATCGCTGACTGGCCCTTTGAAACAGCGTGTACTGACGGCAGCCGCGACTCTGTCAACTCTGTGCTTCTTGGTTAACTAGTGTAGTTGCAACAACGACCCGAGCTCTGGCGGATAGTACCGGTACGGACACCCTGTTGTGCGCTTGCCTTCGAACGGTCGCCCATGTATGGCGACACGCCTTGCAGGAGCACATCCGCTCGAGGTGAGAGGTACCGTCGCCACATTCCCCAGATCACGGCCGACGATGCGGGTTGGTGCATGGCAAGATTTTTGCCCGCTTGTTGCTACTCCCGCCTATACAAGCGTACGTAAAGGGGCAAGAGGGCAGCCCCCTTGTATCCACCTAAAAGAGGAGATGGAGTGCTAATTCAGCCCTAAACATTGATTTCATGGGGAGGAGAGGCTGCGATGAATCCCCCCTCTCGCCCCGAAAGGTAAACCTGCGCGCCCTTATGCGTACACCATGCTAAGATCATCATCAGTGCAAGTGAACGTGCCGATTGGCTAACGTGCACGCACAGGCAACACGACGAAGGGCAGCAACAAGTGTGGGCAGCTACTTGCAGACTGACCGTAAGTCGCAAGTCAATGTTGAACCAAAACGCAGCTTCACTTGCTGGCAGCATCACAGATTTTACACGTTGTCGTCACGAACGTCACTGGGGAGGCTGGAAGGGCCCGGACAAGAGAAGCTCTTATTTTTGAGAATTTGTGGTGAGTTCGCGACTTGTAGCATTGCCGTATGTGACATCGTGGATCGCAAAGGCATTTTTAACAAGATGCGCGTATTTATCAAAATGTATGAAAAAATATCGCAAGTGGTTTGGGGTCTTTTCATGGCCTTGATTTTCTGGGCACAAGTTTGCACAAATAAAAAAAAATTATTTTTACCGGCTATAATTGCTTAGGTCGCCGTAACAACCGAAGATCAGGACATGCAACTCAACTCATGTACCTCATGATATACACGCCACGCTCACAATGCAATGACGGCTGATTCTGTAGCTTGACATACATCAAATTCGGTATTGCAAGACGAGATTGTATGACGAATATAAATGACAAGTGGGAATATGAAAATCATGACATGTCACGTGCGACATGACTTGCACGCCACACTCATGGCACACTTGCGGCCGCTTTTCTCGCGTGACATGCACAAAATTTGATACTTCGCGATGAGACTGTGTGAGGAAAATAAATTAAAATTGGTGATATGAAAATAATGACGCGTCTTGGGAAACACGAGTTGCATCTTAGGCTCATTATATGCTCCCGACCAGTTCGCTATCTTGATATGCACTAACGTACGCATTCACTGATGCGTCTGTACGACAGGCATAAATGGCAGATCGTATAATAACATAATGAAATCGGTGTCATGCACATGATTTACATGCCGCGCTTATGGTGTCCTCACTACCGTATCGCTAGCTTTATATACACCAATTTAGGTATTCGATGGCGTTACTGTATGCAGACCATCAATTGAAAAAAAAACTATATCCAAATTATAACATGGCGACAATTTTCTGCCACGCTCATGCACGCCGGCGGCCATTTCGCTAGCTTTTATACAAAATGTTCGGCACTGCATGACGTGACATTATGACGAACACAAATTACAAATGGTGATGTAATAACATGACACCTAAGGTACAGCCTGACTGCCTTGCTACGCTCATGATACACTTGCGTTCAGTTCGCTTGCTTCAAGTACACCAAAACTCGTACTGCGTGACGCGACTTTATGATGAGCATAACTGACAGGCGTTAATGAAAAATCATGGCATGCATGTCATGCACAACGTGATTTGCATGTTATAACTATGGTGTGCTCACGGCTGTTTCGCTAGCTTCATATATGTCACGACTAGTATTGCGTCATGTGACTGTATGACAAACATGCTTGAGAGGTCTTAAAATGTGAATCTCGACGTGTATATTAGGTATAGCATGACTTGCTCCCTGATCGATCTTTCGAATTTTATCAATTCCCACAGTGCCTTGATCTTATTTTGTTCCGAAGATGTTTTTTGCAAAATGTCGCAAGTTGCATCGCAGACCTGCATTGGGAACTGCTGATCTTCATTAATTCTGACGAACGTCTCCTTTATTTTAATGCCGGTGCAAACGCGCGTCTCTCCACGAGAGCTGTCGGTCCGCCCTAATTCAGCGAGTGGTCGTGATGCGGCGCTATATGAGAGGTCGCGCTGTTGCCGTCGCACGTGCGTCCGAGCGCTTTTCCCCGACAATGCGATAGACGTTTTTTCCACACCAATGTCATATGTCTGTCAGATTCGCTCCTTCATGCTGCTTCTTTCTGGCTCGAGACAATGCCGCCACCACGTCACAAAGTAGCGCATGCAGAAGCGTTGCAGTGACGCTTCCTCGCTGGTTGCCCGCATACCGCCACCAACAGTGACACGCTATCTCAAAGCACTGTATATTTCACAGAGCCAGTGTGACTGCCAATAATCTGAACACGAGAAATGCCACACGCCGCCCCATGGATCTGTACACAAGTGAACAAAAATTGGAGAGGGAGCCGAACAGCTGGAATTGGGAGCATATGGCTGATACTCATAAAATAGAGCAGGCGTTGTCCTGAGTAAGTGTCTTATGAGACTCTTTCTTGAAGGAGATGTTGTAGTTGTAAAATACTCACTGGATAGCTATTGCGAGAATACGCAATATTTAATGATTGCATGAGCTCATTCATGACGTAATAAAGGCGTTTACAAAAATGAATATTTCATAACTAGCCGAAAGAAGAAAAATAACTAACAATAAAAATGACTTACTGTATCCGTTCCGCCGACAACAAAATCGTGAAGAAAAGTGAACATTTCCTTGAAGTCCATCTTCTGCTGGTTGTAGAGGTGCCGGAGGATTGTGCAGTTCTGACTGCTATCGCGCTTTGATTCGTCCTCTTCCGCTGCTTCCTTCATCATGTGAAACATGCGCCTACAAATGAGAATAGTCTGTCAAAGAGCCATGAAGCCATCCTCTTTTTCAAATATTTTCTTTTCGCATAGAGTGAACAAAGGCAAAATTATTGGAAGTATCAAATAATTTTGACATCTCATGCTAAAGCTGGAGAAAATGGTTCAATACAATAGAAGGTGACCTTGATTTTTTTAAAGCACTGATAAAAAGTAAAACCTTCAGCGCAAGCACAAAGCAATGAATACGACATGAAAGTGTTAGAGAAAGAAGGAATATAGGAAAGGTAGGGAGGCTATCTATAGACTACGTCCAGCTTGCTGGCCTGCGCATCTTGTGACCACCGTGCATCTGGTCACAGCGAAAGCTGAAAAAGCAGCCTTTGGGAGCTTTTTTTTTTTCCAGTTTTTTGGGCAGCTGGTACAAGAACACTTACAAGTTACACACTGCACCTATTTTCATAATAATTTTCGTGCAGTATAGACGCATTCACGAGGCCATCCTTCGTCATTCTACGGAAAAGCGTGGTAAGCGGTACACACAATGAATCTGGTGCGTTTTTTTATGCTGCGACTGACGGTGACGAAGATTTATGCCTGAAGCTTTTGTAACGGGTTGGAGCATTCAACAACCTGATTGTTTCACAATTCTCATTGTGTGACGCCTGGATGATCTTTGCTGTTCCAAAACGCATTATTTCTCAAATAATGTATTTCTTCCCCGACATCAAGCCTGCTGATGGCCAGATTACAAAGGCGTTTGAAGCGTCAGCTTTTTTCAGTGATGAAGTACTGGGATATCATGTAGGGAACCCGGGTTCGAATTCCATTGTGTCTCTGGTGTTTTCAGTTACACGTTTCTTTTTCCTATTTTAGTCATAGTGGTTACGAATACAAGCCGTGATGGCAAACTACGGCACACGTGACCCTTGTTGTTATATAAAACAGCTTTCGCTGTTATAAAGGAAGTAGTAGGATAGGGAGAGAGAAGGCTTGGCAATACACATAGAGTCAGGTTTCACAGGTGGTTTTTCATGTCGAAATTTCCGGAGCCCTCCCCTACGGCGTCTCTCCTAATCATATGGTGGTTTTGGGACGTTAAACTCCAGTTATCAATCTATCAAACCAGATGGTTTCTCACTGCTGTTGCCTTAAACTAACGCAGAATGGCTTGCGCAAATTTCTGGGTGACTGTGCTGTGAAGCCAGGCTCTCAGTGTCTTTAATTCACAAAGGGCCGATCATCAAGTTTCCACTGAAGGTGAAGTATGCGATCCTGTTCAAATTGCGAACAGTGGCACAAAATATTATCAATAATATCTACACAGTTGCAGTTATCTCACACGGATCAATTGGCGATACGATTGCCTAATGAATTGGTAAGCGCTACACCACCCTCAGCCGACACATTACCGTACCGTCTCATCGAGAAATCTTTGATGGCAGTTGTAGCTAGAGTAACCATTTCAAGTATTGTGGGAAACCCGATGGAGCACCTGCATTCTACATACCTTAGTCTTAAGTAGACGCTGAAACAACGTGTCGGAGTATCGCAAGGAGTAGAGATGTTACTATAGGTTAGCTTATTCCTTCCTTCCTTCAGCATAAGGCATACGGTAACTCAAAGAAAACGCTGGCGTGAGCAAACGAGGCTGCTTAAGCGTATCGATCTCCAACTGTGGTGTCTGTGGTTTCAAGGCAAACTGTGCGGTGAGAACACGTGTCAAAGGTGAACACCATGTGTTGATCTCCTCTGAAGATACAGGGCGAGCGACAACAGGCAGCCATGCCCGGCTAATCACAAGACTTCTATTCTGCATATGCTCTGCAGCCTTCCTTTGGGATCTCTCCAGTGAAGAACACCTCCGGCTTGTTTCGTACGTCTCAGAGCCGCGTTCTTCGGGCCCCGCTCCCGAGCTTTCAAGCGCACGTAGAATACAGGACACGTGGCACCATATGTCCAACCTGAACTTGGAGCTAATCATAACAGTGACAAAAAATGCACCTACTGAAGTGACCATATAGCCGCTATCCCCCAAAAATGATTAAAGGTATACAAGCTTCTTCCTTCACCACGCTAATATAAGAGCAACCTTGATGCATTGACCAAAACCCTTGTGGTACCACTGCGCGAGCAGCTGGGGTAACAGACTTCACCTTGTTCTGTTTCTTATTTTCAATAATTTGCTATTACAGTGTGGCACCTTTTTGTTTCCTGAGTATTGATTTTTTGAAATTGTGTACTATTACTCGCTTCAAAACGCTCGAAGGTACATGCGCTGTCGATACATCCTTAATGAAGAGCACGAAAGAAGTTGACAAACGAAATAAAAGCAGGAACACGCAACGAGCGCTGTCTGTGAATTCAAACATTTAACAAGGCGAAAGGCTCATATTCTTCATCAAATGAACAAATTTACCGTCAGGCGGCTTCAACATGAGCGATGCCGAAACCATGAAGTGATAATGTCAAGGTTTGACGTCATCAGGACATCATGATAATTAGAATCTGTGACGTCATCACTTGATGTTGTCGCCTGCCTGAAATCTAAAAGAAGCGATAGGCAACACCAAGTATTCACTCACTGCATGCGCGCACTGTTCGTGCTGGAACATTTGTGTGAACCAGTATTTCACTAATAGAACCACCATTTTAAAGACGATAGTTTTACTAGGATACTTCAAACAGGTAAGTTGATTGGATAATATGGGTACTAATAAAAGAATTTCAGGTGAGTACAGCTGTCCAAAAAGTGTAACAAATGGCTTGAAGGAGGTGTACAAACAAAAATTATTAGACCCGACGTAACTTACAGCACTGTGATACTATCACAGATCACTAAAGAAAACAAAGAGAAAAGGCACCACAAAAAGTTCCTATTCGATCAGGATCACATATCGTTTGTGTAGAAAAGTAACACTTTTCTACACTTAGAAAAAGTGTACAACAATTTATAGTACTTTGTATGCTACTATGGGAGAGCAGCAAGTCGTCCCAGTTACGCGAGCATTCCGGATAATCAGTTTATAAAAACGTTCTTAACAATTTTGTGTACTTTGTTCTCTACAGCAGGAGAGTGAAAGCCGTCGCAGTCATTACAAAGCATGTGCAAAAGTATTGCTCTGTCTGTCTTTCCTCGGGTTCGTGTGTTGAACGATTCATTTAACCCCTTGCTCAAAGCCCACCCATCTGAATTTGGATGGTTGCGTTTATACATAAAAGTTATCAATCAAAAAGCAAATATTACGCATACCTGAGACACGACATTGCTACGTAAGTGTTACGAAGTGTACTTTTTTATTAAATGCGAATCATTTCTTTGCGTACTGCAAGCACGTTTGGCATCTATCTGCGTATCTATCCAACTATCTATCTAGCCACTTGCCCGACCACGGTGGTCTAATGGCTAAGGTACTTGGCGGCTGACCTGCGGGTAGCGGGATTGAATCTTGGCTGCAGCGGCTGCATTTCCGATGGAGGCAGAAATGTTGTAGGCCTGTATTCCTATATTTAGGTGCAATTTATAGAACCCCAAGTGATCGCAATTTTCGGAGCCCTCCACTACGGCGTCTCCCATAATCATATGCTGGTTTTGACGCACTAAACCCACCACAGTGATTGATCAATTGATCGATTGATCTATCAAGCCGCTTACGTCTGGGTGCTCCTGTGATCACCCTCTTAATTTGGCATGAACCAAAATTAGTATGGTAGGGTAAGAGGGTTTTGCGGATATTACGAGCTGGTCAAGACACGAATAAGGCAATGCTGTCGCATACGTCGTCAAACACTTGCCACCAGACAGTGGCACATACCCACGGGCAAGCATACCCGCGTACCCACTTGTATTCGGGTATGGACCACAGGTGAATGACACTTGGTATCTATCGAGGAACGACAAAAAAACATGCATGGGTAGCGAGCCTCAAGAAAAACCTGACATCGGCAGCATTGACTCCACGAACGCAAAGAATAAATGTCAGGGTACTAGCAGAAATCAAACCAAAGCATTTTGCAAGGCATTCAAGCAATATACCACAGAGAAATGCCACATCGATTCCCAAGGTACGTAGGTTCTGCCAAAAGTTTTTAGAAAATGCATAAATACGTAACTAGAAATAAAACAGTTTTTATACGTTGCGCCGACGATGTGGCGCTATTACCCAAAACGCGAGTGCTTCCTATGCTTTGCTGAAAAATGCAGGGGCTTTAACTAAAACGAAGCGGTGCGTCTGACGATCACTGTGTCTGCGTTCTAAAAAAGTTCAATTCTTCGCATTACTGTCAGTTGGTGCCATATCTCACGAAGCACCTCCAGATAGAATTGTCTTTCTACGTCCTTTGCAGGGAGGCACGAAGATACGCGGCCATATTTTGTGAGTAATCGTGTTCGCACGACGCTATGCTCACTTGTTTAATTATTACGTTAGTGTTCAAGGCAATATTGCCACGTTCGCTTGTTTTTAGCATTTTCATGCAACCAGCCAGTCACACATCTAACCATGGACTCGCGCTGTGGTTACTTGTGTGGCGTAACTCTACGTTCCCAAATACTCCAGTCTTCCGTTCAGCTGTACGCGCGAAATGCCAACACTATGGAGTTTATTTTGCAGCTGACGCAAGCGCCACTGAAAACTTTGGAAGGTTAAATAAGGCATTTATAAAAAAAAACGCATTTCACCGACAAGCATATTGTTCGACGACCGTCAGCTGTGTGCGCCGTTTTAATTACACTTCGAGTGCCATTCTGCTTCTTAGTACAAGATGAACCAATGCGGTGCTCGACTGCAGACCCGAAGGTCACAGGATGGAATCCTGGCGGCAGCGGCTGCAGTTTAGATGGCCGCGAAATCGCTCGAGGCCCATGCAATTAGGCTAAACTGCGCGTTGAAAAACCCCAGCTGGTCCAAATGTCTGGACCCTTTCATCACGGCGTCCCTTTTAACGATATCTTGGTTTTGGGACATTAAATCTCAAAAAATTATTGTAGGAACTTCTAACAATGAGGAGTTCAGTATTTAC